ACTATACATGAACTTGTGGTTTACAAGTAAATCTACTTCTTTTCCACTTCATGAAATGTAAAGAGAATTTCTCTGGAAGGCATTGGCCAAGTGCATGCTGTAATCTCTCAGGGATCTAATATTCTGCTCTGCAGTGCGATAGGAGATATTTTAGAATAATGTGAAATGTAATTTGACAAAGTAGGCACATGAAGGATTAGGTAGTTGCTGAGCAGCATCTCAAGAATATCAAGGTACATGTTTTAAGATTTCTTCAGCAGAATGTGAATTTTTAGGCCAGTGCACAAATACAACAGTTGCTTATCAGAAAGGGTCTTCCTTGATATCTATGTAAGGCATTGAAAATTCAAAAGGGTCCATCACAGCCTTGAATCAGACTTAAAAACGTCATCTATTTTACGTTTTTTCTTCTCTAATTTTTCTGGCTATTTCAACCTGCATTTTGAAAGGCTCATAAACAGCTGAGGTCACAGGAACATTCTGAAATGTCTGGCTGAGGTGCTAATTTAACACCCAGCGTTCTTTAATGATGATTGCTGCAAAATGGGAAGGAGGAGGGAGAATTTCTTTCAGTACCAGAGTATTACCTTATACCTAAAAATTGTAAATTAGTCCTTTGCTCAGCAAAGAGATACTTCTGAAACAGATCTCAAAATAAGTTAGAAGCTATGGCTTTATATTAAAAAACCCCAACCCAAACCAAACTGAGAAAAATTGGTATGAAGGAGAGATGAAGAATGTAAAAGCTCATATGAAAATCACATGATTTTCCATAGTTAGCCAAGCTTATTATGTAGTCTGGAAATTCTACCAGGTACTTTTGTTCTAGACATCCAGAATAACTTAAAAATTTAGTTAAAATGGTGACATATTGAATACAATTACCTGAGTCGTTCATGAGCTAAAATTACACAGGCAACATAACTACATGTAGAATAAAATATGAAAAGCTCAAAGACATAGTTCCCTCATTTCTCTTTAAATGATTAAATTGATCATTTATGAATGATCAATTTAATAATTGCTTTAAAATATTAAATGATTGCTTTAAAATTATTAAATAATTAAATAATTGCTTTATTAAATGATTCCTTTAAAAATTTTTAAAATTTAAATCAATGAAATTGTTTCTAAAAACGTACCCTGCTTTCTCTGTTTTCCATGGTGGTCTAAACTAGCAATATAGGAACATTTATCTTAAGCAAAAGTAGCATTTTTCCTATAATGGTTTCCAATGAATGTGGTTCCCAAATGAAGGTAGCCAAGTTCATTCTCTAGTGTAAATACCCTACTCAAGAACTGTTTGTTGTGGTTTCCCAAAGTACTTTTTATCTAAGCTGGAATTTATGTAGTCCTGGCTCACCACCTCAGGTCTTTGTTTTATTCTGTGTTACTTTCTCTCTACAGTGTGTGAAATTTAAATTTTGCAGGTAGACCTCAATGATTAACAAGAGGAGCATTTAAATTCTGTCTTAAACTTGAGCTATGATGCAATTCCCTGCAATGGCAATGATAGAGTCCATGTGGCAGTACCAGATACCAAGAGTGCTCAGTTCTGCATATCTGGTTGTCACAAAAAGAGACACTTGTATACTTCCGTAACATTTGTTTGAGTGCCACATACTGAATCCAAGGTTGCCTCCTCACATGAGATTAGTTGTTATGGTCAGCTACAGTTTTTCTCTACATGGCTTATTATCTGCTCTCTCTACAGTGTTAATCACTTTTTCCACAGAACTATGCGCTTCAATTTGATGGACTTTCCAACAAAGCATATTGTCTTAGAAAACCTTTTCAATTTGAGGACTATCCATTCCCAGATGCACTCTTCATTTAGGTAATTTACCAGGGTATATTTTTCTTCAGATGAGGTTAACATTTTTAAAGAAGATTAATTAACCCTTGGTAGTTTGTTTATAACCTTGAGGCATCTATTTTGTCTTACACTTTCATTCTGTCCTTACACTTTCAAGTCTTCTGCTACCATCTTGCAGTCATTATTTTGGAAACCACTGGTCAAATCCACAAGTTTTCTTCAAAAGCCTTTAACTTTGCTTTCCTGGTTATGCAGCTAATGGTTTATTAGCACAATCCAGTCACGCATGCCTCCTAGTTATAGTTCATTAAATATTTTATTCCACAATGGAATGTGAATATAATAAGACATGGATTAAAGCAATAGTTTCCTTGTTAACAGAATATACAAGTTATGGCAGCATTGCTAAAACACAGTCAAATATACTTTAGAGCAGGCATTGTGGCTGTTACTGTACTTTCCAAAATCTGCTGTTTAACAAAGTGATAGTGTTTTTTTCTCAGTGTTAGGGAGTGTAAATCTTCTGTGACTTATTCCAGCTTTTAGCAAGCCTGATTTTATTAACTTGACAAAGGTTGTTTGACTTTCGCCTCATGGGAAAAGTCTTGCTGGACTCAGTTGGAGAAGCTGCTGAATTTAGCAAGTTGCTATGTCCCTGTTGATTGTGGTGCTCAGCATGAGATGCTGTTGTGCTCTAGCTGAGAACAGCACTACACCAAAAAAGAAAGGTAGTTTTGGTTTGGACTACTCAGTCACTTTGTAGGTGTGTTGTGGATTAACCCCTGCAGCTGAGCATCACACAGGCTCGATCCTTTCCCCACCAGCTGGACTGGAACAGAACTGGAAGGGTAAAATTGAGAAAACAGATGGGTTGAGATAAAGACAGTTTAATAAGTGAAGCAAAAGCTGCACACATAAGCAAAGCAAAAGGACTTCATTCACCACGTGCTATGGGCAGGCAGGTGTTGAGTCATCCCCAGGAAAGCATCACATATAGAGTGAGTGACTTAATGCCATCTACCCAAATGTCCCCTTCTTCCTTCTTCTCCAGGTTTATATGCTGAACATGATGTTTTATGGTAGAGAATATCCCTTGAGTCAGTTGGGGTCATCTGTCCTGACTGGTCCCCTCCCAACTCCTTGTGCATGCCCAGCGTCCCCAGTGGTGGAGTGGGATGACAAGCAGAAAACACCTTGACTCTGTGTAAATGCTGCTCAGAAATAGCTAAAAAAATATCTCTGTGTTGTCAACAGTTTTTAGCACAAATCCAAATCAGAGCCCCAATCAACCTACTATGAAAACAATCAACTTTATCCCAACCAAAACCACCAGAAGATATTTCTAAAGCCAGCCAGATGTTATAAGCTCACACTCTTATTGCTGAGCATTACAATGTTTTAAGTTCCAATTGGTCTTAAGGTATACCAAGAACATTTCCTATCTGTTCATAAAAATGACTAAATGACTGTGTTTCCATGACATCTTCAAATGCTGCTGAGTGAAAAGATGAATTCTATTGTTTCTATACAGTAATGTTTTGAAAGTTACCTCCATAACTATGAACCAACACCAGCTGAGTATGTGTTTGGTGGGTGGAAGAAATTTATTGCATTAACCTGCTGTGTGAGCAATGAAGAATAATTTCATTGCTTGAAAGATTGTATACTGGGATTTTTCTTGCCCTTCATTCTGTCAAAATAATTGGGAGCAAAGCATGAGGAGTGTTCCAAAATTTTCTGTAGAGTCTCTTCTATCTTCATGGGGTCTTAAGTCTTTACCACACATAATTTTTGATACTCTTCTTCCATGGTTGCTCACGTCCAATTTTTGCAGCCAGAATTTTTCTGGCAGAACTGTGAAATTGGCACAGTATTTAATGTGCCACTTGTCACTCTCAAAACACTGTTTATTTCACTGGATATCAATTTTATATGAAAGCTGTTATACAAAACAAAATGCTTTAGAGAACAAAATACTTTATGGGAGAGAGACAGACAGACATACAAGAAGAATTTATGTTGAAATCTTGGAATTTCAGACTGCTCCTACTTCTACCTGGACAGGTACCCAGAATTTCAAACTTGTTTTTTTTCATTCTCTGGAAACCACTCACAATGGACTTAGTGCCTCTAGGTGGTACATTAACATGTGTTATAGTGTAGGAATTTACTGTGAACTGGCTATTCTTTTCTTGGGTGTTTACATGGAGAAACATGAAAACATCATGGGGGCATTTTTTGGTGGTTTGGGTTTTTCCCCCAGAAAAGATAAATTTCATCTCCAGTCACCAAAATAGAACATTAGCATACTTGAATTTTTCTTCAATGGACCTCAACGGTAAATATTATTCATCTATAAATAAAAATTTGGGGAAGGGGAGTACCTTTTGAAATGTCTCTGCAGGAGTGCAGGTCCTTGATGTCACCTTGAGGGAATCCATCAAAGTGTGTTCTAATTTGGCTGGTCTGGTTGCCAAGGTAGACGTGTAGTTTTCAATCTTTGAACATTTTGTTGATCGAATAAGAACAGTGTCAATTTATAACTTTTGACAGCTTCAGCAATGGCCTTTTCTGTCAGGCAGTGTCATGTATAGAGGAGAGAGCAACAAGCACAGCTGATGTACTTAATTTATTTTGATAAAATACTTTTTCATAGGTGGTCTGTTAGAAACAGCGTACTTACTCTGACACAATTTAAACATTTGCATCTCAAGGTATTTTATGAGTATTGGTTCTTAAGTTGAGGATATTAAGAATATTTTTGTACTTAACTGGGAAATTTTCAATTTAGTTCATTACAAGATTGCTGTTTTTTGCCTACTGGCAAGTATACACATCCTAAAGTGAAATTATGTCTTTCTTCATGTCAAAAGAAATTTCTTCATTTCTGTTTTATCCTAGAATTTCCTAACGTTCTATAATACACATAAAAACACCCTCAACCAAACAACCAGAGAAAAAGACAGCAAAGTATTATATTTTAAAATTATTTTCATAGAATCATAGGGTAGATTTTGTGATGATGATAATATCATACATTTTGTTTTGGGGAGGTTTTTGAACTTATTATCATGCTATATTTGCATTATGAAGAACCTGTTCAATTTCTAACTAGAATTTTTTTCTTTAATGTATATTTTAAAAATTCTTTTAAAGGTATTTATTGCTTTTAATATTTTTTCAGGGAGTGCTGGAACACCTGTTGTTTTCAATGAAAATGGAGATGCTCCTGGACGCTATGATATTTTTCAGTATCAAATCACCAACAAGAGTACGGAATACAAAGTAATTGGTCAGTGGAGTAATCAACTTCATCTAAACGTAAGTACACTGTTTCCCTTAGTATTGTCCTGCTGAAACTGGCTGCTCATGGCTTGGATGTTCACTGCTCACTGGGTAAAGCACTGGCTGGGGGGCCAAGCCATCCAGAGATGACAGTGAATGAAGTTACGTCCAGTTAGCAGCTGGTCACAAGTGGTGCTCTCCTGGGGTCAGTACTGGGTCCTGTTTAATGTTTTTATCAATGATCTGGACAAGGTGATCATGTGCACTGTCAGTAAATTTGCTGACAAGACCCAGGCTGAGCAGGAGTGTTGTTCTGCTGCAGAGTAGGAAGGCTCTGCAGAGCACTCAGGACAGGCTGGATTGATTGCCATGGCAAATTACATGAGGTTCAATGAGGTGAAGGGATGAGTCCTACACTTGGGTCACAACAACCCCAGCAGTCTGGGGGCAAAGTAGCTGGAAAACTGCCCAGCAGAAAAGGTCCTGGGAGTGTTGGCTGACATAGCTGATCAGGAACCAGAGTGTGCTCAGATAGCCAAGAAGGCCAATGGCATCTTGGCTGTATCAGAAGTAGTGACGCCAGCAGGACCAGGGCAGGGACTGTCCCTCTGTACTTGGCCCTGGAGAGGCTGCAGCTGATAGAATCAGAATCGTCAAGGTTGGCATAAATCTCTAAAGTCATTCAGTCCAACTATCAATCAAACACTGCTAAGACCACCACTAAACCATGTCCCTAAGGCCACATCTACAAGTCTTTTAAATATCTTCAGGAATGGTGATTCCATCACTTCCCTGGGCAGCCTATTCCATTGCTTGATCACTCTTACAATGGAAGGATTTTTTCCTATTATGAAATCTAAACCTGTCCTGGCACAACTTGAAACTATTTCTATCACCCTGTGAGAAAAGACTGACCTCCACCTGTCTAGAACTTTCTTTCAAATAGTTGTCAAGACCAGTAAAATTCCCCTTGATTACTACAAGACGTTGAGGGTTTGGGGCATGTCCAGAAAAGGGCAATGAAGTTAGTGAAGGGTCTGGAGCACAGGTCTCGTGAGAACTGAATGAGGGAACTGGGCTTAGTTATTCTGTTAGGTAGAAAAGGAGTTTCAGGGGAGAATTTACTGCTCTCTACAACTACCTGAAAGAAAGAAGTGATGGGACAGGTGAAACTACTGCAAGTTGCACCAGGGGAGGTTTAGATCAGACATTAGAAAAAATTTCTTCACTGAAAGATCAATCAAGCATTGGAACAGGTTGCCCAGGGAAGTGGCCACCATTGCTGGAGGTATTGAAAAGATGTGTAGACATGGCCTTTAGGGACATGGTTTAGTGGTGGATTTGGCCATGTCAGGCCAATGGTTAGACTTGAGGATTTACATGTCTTTTCAACCTAAATGATTCTATGGTTCTACAAATCAGATTATGATACTGACATTGGAGAATACTAATTTGAATATTAAATTATTTTAAACACTTAAAAATATTATTTATTCTCTATTAGTTGGCAGAACAAAGCACTTCCCCTCTGTTCTTGAGAAGACAGTAAAAGCTTGCACAATAGCCTGAATAAAATTTTTTATATTTTCAAGTCAGATGGGTTGTGTAGTTATCAGCTCCTTCAGATGATATTTTCAAATCATTTTATATATGTTATTCCTCAGAGAGATTAATAAACTAGGCAAGGAAATAACTTTTCCTTTTAAAAAAGACAAAATGATGGGGGCAGGTAAATTGCCCAGGTATTTCAAATAATATAAGAGGATGGAAATGTATTTCATAAAAGACAAGTTTGAATTCTAACCGCTTCTGATTTAGTTAAAACATAGGGATGATGAACTACTGCAATAAAAATATTCCTTGAATATAAAGGGAGACTTAGGTGTTTTTCTATATGAATAACTAGGATTTGAATTGTCCCTGATTATTTCATAGCAGAAGGAATAAAAAAACACAATTTGCCCATCTTTAGATGGTGTTTTTAATTGCTGTCTTAATCTCTTTTGCAAGTTTTGGGGTAGTTAGATTCCATTTGTGCATGGAATTATATTTGGGTTGAAAATTGCTGTCCTAACAAAATTCAGAGGATATATTACATAGATTTGTATGAAAAATAGGCATCAAGGTTTAATTTCAGAAATTTTTGGGTCCAAGGTACTTTCTGGAAGAAGACGTCTTCATGTAAAGAGAGAAGAAGAAAAATGAATTTAATCTCTTTCTTTATTAGATTTGCAATATACTTCTATTAGCTGTTTGGGTACCTCTGCAAATACCAGCGTTGCTTTGCTAAAGGCTGATGAGAAGGGCAACAGTGTGAATTGATGAGTAGATACACCAAAGCAAGTTTATGCAGTGAATGCAATAAAACCACAAAAAAGGTTTCAAATATCTCTGGTTTTCCATGTGAGAGGTTCTTGATGAAGAGTTACAAAGACAGTGTAGTAAATATTTACAAATTACTCCCCTGTTCAGACTATTTTGCAATAATTATCTGAGTGCTATCCACAATAGCACATATGATAGCTCCCTATTTTCATCCACAGCAGTTAAACCACTATAGCATATCTACAATTTAATATCCGTAACTACTTGTCAGGGACTCATTTATTTAGTTATTCTGTCCAAATAGAAAAAAAGCCTACCAAAAGAAGCCATGTGTTGCAGATTGTGTGGCAGTGTTATTTCCCTTCACTAACATGATATCTGTGTGTTGGAGGGCACAAAAGAAAAAAAATGGTTAAACAAGTTTAATATTAAACATTAGTTTCTGGAAAAATTACAGTTATTCTTATCATAACTATTGTGAATACATTCCAGATTTTGATAATTGCTACATTTTTCTGAAAAGTTAGTATTTATTAATTCAAAAACTGATACACACATTTTGCACAAATGCTACTACTAACATAACAGTTATATAGTAATATCAAAAAGATGCTGAAAATTTTGCTTCAATTTTAGTTTCTTTATGATCTGTCCTTTTTTACGTCCCCCTAGACTTCTAAATTTTTCATTAAGCCTGTAGTTTTTCAGTCCCATTATTTCTGCCTCATGTATATGTACTTGAGGGAACACTGAAATATGATTGGATTGATGGGTACTCATACTACTGAAACCACATTGTGCTAACCACATTGACCACAAATCTAACTGGAAAGGTTTTATCTAAGCATGCCCTCATTACCTCTCATTAGTTAAGGGTGTGTTGAATGTTGTTTGGCTCTCTTTTCTCACCACCATGAGCTCACATGCTGAATGCATTTGGTTTTTCCAGCTCTCAGGCAGGCTCTGTCCAGCATGCAGAGTGGTGAAGATACAGGTGTGTTGTCATCTTATTGCAGGGGTTCCATACTGTTGTCTCCTTATCACAAAAGTTTCACACCTTCTTGGTGTTTCTCGTGGGCACCTCCTCAGAGCACTAACTCTTTCTTCTTCACAAAGCAGCCAACTGACCCCAATTCCCTTTTCAATCAGCCAGCCCACTCTTTTATAGCATTCTTCTTCTCATTGGTTACAGCTGTGGCCTGTTAAAGTCAGGCCTGCTCCTAATCTTTGTTAATTGGCCCAGCTGCAACTCCTTAGGAGTGAGATTCCTTTCTACACGATCTTTATTTTCTTGTATCGTCTCCCCCTACACAGGTGGGCTGGTACAGTGCCCTGCAGTGCGAGATTCTGCTCTCGCTCCACCACCCCCTGCTCTGCTGCAGAGCCCCTGCTCCCCCGGGCCAGGATGGCTCCTCCTGCACCCTCACTGAACTCTTAGCAGGTGCTGATGGCAGTTATGACAGATGATGATCTGCTGTGGCAAAGCTGCTGCCTCCTCTCACTAGACAAAATATATTAAAACCAAGCCATCTTTTTGAATGATTGTCAATACTCCAGATCATCATATTGCAAATTAGGAAGTGCTTTTGATTGCCAATGAATCATAGGGAACACAGTGGATGTTTTCATTAGTTTCTGTGAAAACATCTATATTTATTGAAAGTGAAGCAGCATTAAGATGGCAGAATAATTTTTACCCTGCTGCTCTTTAAAGGAGATGCTTTTAAAATACAATACTTTCCCCCCTGTACCCTTTATCCTCTAGTTTATTTTTAATGAAGATACATGTAACTATGATTTTTAGTGAATATTTGTAAGCTAGATATCCTCTGTAGATACCTCTACCCTGGTTTTTACAGATATTTCTTCCTCAAGTTGTGTGGTAACATGTTGTAGCTATGATGCGTTTATGATGATGTTCATCTATGCAGCTGGTATTGTGCTTCAGAAAATTTATCGTTTTTATTATTCTGTTCATTTTCCCTGTCAGAAAAATAAATCTTGAAAGTATCAGGTTTTTAGTACAGTTCAACCCTTGGAAAAATTATTGTAAGACAAACTAGAACATATCTTCCATCTAAATAACTTAATTGAAAGGTTTCCCTTTTCTATTTCTGATTTCCTCATTCCCTCTACTTTTCAATTTTCCTTTTCCTTAAGATGCTCTTTGCTAATTTAGATCATATTTTGGCTGCAGGTTTGTTGTCTGGGCTGTGTCTTTTCACATGGTAGCCAGCCCCAGTCTGTCTCTGGCCACCACCCTCAGAATTCAGGGTTGCTCTGCAGATGTCTCTGGCTCCTCAAAGTTTCACTGACTCTGCAGGGTCCTTGTTAAGCTTCAGACTTGTTCCTTTCTCGTTGCAGCGCTGGTTTCCCTTTGGGCGTAAAGTGGCTGGATAAAGACTCTGCATCACACTCCCTGAGGGGCTCTTTCTCAGCAGGCTTCACCAGCTGCAGGGACCCTTCCAGCTCTGATGCTGGCTTCTTCATGGAGACTTCAGTAGCATTAATGCTCTCCTTTAGGCTAACTGACCTTTTAAATTTCCTCTGAAGCAGCTATAGCTTCCAGATACAGGCACTTCATGACTACTGGTCAGTCCTACTCTTGTAATTCTTACAAAACAAATGCATGACAATGCTGATACAGTAGATAAATTAAATTAAGAAACACTAACCATCTTCCAAATTAAATTTTTTGCATGATTATTGAG